ATTAGGGCGGGTCAATTTGTATGGATCGATTTTTTTCGACATTGTTCCTAGCATATTCGGATTCTTCATAAAATTCTAAGAAAAAAATTCCTCCAGACCATAGCTCTAAAGTTAATTTCGAGCCTGCGCATTTTTAAAAGAAGATATCTTATATATAAAAATGAATTGCTGTCCGTTAGCCTCGCTAAGACTCGAAAACAGCTTGACCGATTTTAATATTTTTATTTTTTCGGTTTGTTTTTTATAATATCCGGATGGTTAAAACCAGAAAAAATAGAGAGTTGCCACCTGTTTAAAAGTTCAATATAAGTAAATTAATTACATAAATTAGATATTGCAATATGGGTGTCAAAAGAAAGAGGTTATGAAGGCTTACAGGCGAAAATATTTTTGAGGGGGGTTGCCACCTGTTTCAAAATTTAGTTAAATAAAATTGATAAGATAAATTAAATATTGCAATATGGGTATCAAATTAAAGGCTTAAAGAAGGCTTACTACTGAAAATATTTTTGAGTCGAGTTGCTACCAATTTCGAAAATTTAATTCAATTAAGTTAATAAGATAAGGTATGTATTATAATATAGGTGTCGAGCGAAAAGTATTTGAAAAATTATTGATTAAGAAATATTTTCTATAGGCCTGCCACCTACCTAAGCGGTAAAAACTAAAAGCCATACTCGCAAATATTGTTCAAAACTTTTGAGGCTCGCATCAATGTGGAATACTGTAACTCCGTCAAGATAGTGTTTATTGATGGCAAACAAAGTACTATCATGTTTGGCAATGATATCACCCCATCGAACAACGCACTCAGTCTCGATATAAAAAGAGAACAAAAGCCGAAGTATTAGCCGAAGCAGTTCATACAAATGTTCCACAATTGAACTAACAAAAAAATATGGCCTACGACTCTTTTATAGAAGCTGTGGACACTGGAGTAAAATTTAAACAAAAAAACAAAACCGACTTCAATTCTCATATACAAATTTAAAAATACCGTTATTTTCTTCATGGCCCAATTATCGGATATACACTCAATTAGTAGGAGACTACCTCTGAGGAACCACCTTTCCTTTCAAAAAGAATTATAGAAAACGGATAACGTAGTCCAAAGTTACGCGGTAACATACATAAAAACATATTCCGACGAATTGATAAAATATGCAGATTAATATTTAATAAAGTGTTACGGATATATTTTTTTTAATACAAACCTGTGCTTGGGAGTTTATTGATATGAAAAATTAATTTCTGATATCTATTTTTTATTGAAAGAACCGCAAGATTGCACTACAAAGCAAATAACATATTTTTTACTATTGTAACGGGAGAAGTTACTGTATGTATTTTTTTATATGTACAGTGTCGAACAAAAGTTTTGGCGCAGTAAATTTTCGCATTACATATATGCAAAATTTTTAATTTATTTTCGATAATTTTTTATAAAAACATAGTTCATACTTAATGTGGCCAACCGTACTTCTTTCGGAAGTACAGTACTTCTTTTTTCGCTCTTGTACTTTGTACTTCGAAGTACAGTCAAATGTACTTATTTGCGATATTTTGTACTTCAGGAGGAAGATTTTCTAACCAGTTAGCGACAATTTTCGGATCGCTATCGCACTTTTTGACGCATGATATAAATGTTTTTGCGTCTAAAAGTGCGATAGTGATTCGAAAATTGTCGCTAACTGGTTTCAGAATCTTCCCCCAGGTCCTGTAATTCTCCGATCTTCTGGACGATCGTCACATGGTCTGGGCGATAATTTCGTTGAAACCATTAAAGTTGCCGCGGTCCGATGGCATCATACCTGCATAGCAGCGAAGAACTCTGAAGGTGTCGGGCAATTGGTTGAATCCCATTTATGCGAACTGCGTGAGGACCGGGTACATCCCGAAGGCTTGGAGTTCAGCCCGAAGGGCGGAAAAGGCGCACATGTTTCCCCTAAGTATTTTAGGTCAATCAGTCCCTCTTTCTTTTTGCTAAAAACTCTAGAGAGACTAATAGACCACTGCATAAGAAACGCGATTGCTTGTGGCTGTCTTTCAAGAGCTCAGTATGCTTATTGCAAGAAGAGGTTGGTGAAAATCGCCCTGCATACATTGGTAAAGTGGTCATAGGAACTTTTCACGCATAAAGATTATGCAGTAGGGGCCTTCTTCGATATCGAGGGGGCCTTCAACAATGTCACACCAGAGGCAACAGTCGATATAAATATTCATAATCAGGGGGTCGAAACCAACCTAATAAGGCTTATCTACAGCTCACTACCGCGAATAGAACTGTCGCGGCGGAGTGGGGACGCGCCTGCACTCAATGCAGAGTCATTTGGAGCACTCCACAAGGTGGTGTTCTCTCTCCCCTGCTCTGGATTGCGGTTGAAAAAGACCTTCTAGAGAAACTGGAAAAAGTGGGCTGTCGGGTGATCGCCTATGTAGATGATGTGGAAATTTTGGTTAAGGGACGATTTCTAGACACCATTTTTGTTCTGGCTCAGGGTACCTGAACCAGGTAACTAGGTGGGTGATCAACGGCGGCTGTCGTGGAAGCCTAATATTGAGGTAAGGTAAGAAAGGTGTCGGTTGCCTTGTACTTCTGTAGGGGTCTCTCGCCCAAGTTAATTCATTAGCTCTAGGAAACCAGATTTAAGCCTATATTGTTTCAGGGAGCCCTTCTCTGGTGGAACTTACTAGAGAAGACTACACTTGTAAAATAGGAATTAGCGGAGCATTAGGAACCACACCTACACTGGCGCTTAACATACATATGTTGAACACGGCGCCTGCGGATATTGCAGACAGAATTGTCGCAGCATGATCTGCTATTGGGCTTAGGGGAACCGGGTCCTTTCGTGACATAAAAAAGGAAAAGATGTTTCTCTGCTGCAGCAAATGTTTTAATAGGGCACTTTTAAACATGTTACCTCTCAAGGGCTAGTGATGGGGGTTCTGACAGGCCATTATGCGATTGGTATTCATGCGTTGAGACTTGAAATTTCAACTGATCCTCGCACTTTTCTACAAACACTGAGCTCTCAGGGATCGAAATTAGCCGCATTCGAAATTTCATAATCGACTCGCGGCGTTAACTTAACCTAACCTGTACTTCTTTGTACTATGAAATAGTCTGTCACATTATTCATACTACACTAAAACACATAAAAATCACATGTGTAAACTTTGTGAAAAACTCAGGAAAATTCAATAAATCAGCATACTAATTTGCAATTTTATATTCAGATTTTCAAGCAACTTCAAACCTGCACTTTGATAAACTAAAATTAAATGTATTATTAAACTGCATACTTGGAATTTTTCTAAAAAATACTTTGCCTATATTGCGAAAAATTTACTGTGCCAATACTTTTGTTCGTTACTGTAAGTAAATAAACCCTTAACTTTAAAAAACCAAAAAAACTTTACAATATTTCAAAATTATTTTTCGAATCATAAATTTTTTTTATGATTAACAATGTATTTATATTTTTTTGTTTGGTTTTAGATCCTTTTTGCTTTCAACACGAGGTATCTTTTTTCTAGTTTCTATTGTCATAGCCATAACTCCCTCTCTATTTCTATCAATCAATCAATAAATTTTATAATTTTTTTTG